CTTCCATTGCACGTGAGCACAATGAAGAAGACTAATGACTATAACTCTAGTTTGAAGACTCATTTAGTGTAGTGCAAATACATTGTCAATAAAAGAATTAATCCCGTCATATTTATATYGTTTGATACTCATTAGTATGGACAGAACTGATAAAAATATTCAGTGGATTGATATGTCTAACCCTAGTTTTTTCTTCATGTTTCGTTTGTTTCTTACATGTTTTCAGCCATTTTCAGTATTTTTCCACTGTTAGTCTCTGCTCCTCAGTCCTGCCACGCCCACCTACACCTGTTTCCTGTTCCATTTCCATTATATAATTTCCCTCTGGGATCAATAAAGTATTTTTAATTGAATTGAATTGAACTGAATTTATTCTCAGCTGCATTCATCTTTTCATTAGCCCCAGAGCTTTTATGACACTCCAGCTTCAATTAAACCCTTTTTGATCCCGGTCTGGTTCATCTTGCATCTCCTCAGCTGTGTAAGTTTAGCTGCCACATCAGCAGTTTTTTTTGTTTAAATTTAAAGACAAAGTTTATTTTTTTTAGCTCCTTGTGTCAGCCTGCATTCTTAAGTCCAGCCTGCAGAAACCTGACCCCTGACATCTGCATAGTGTTGGTGTAATGCAGTGACCCAGACATTTTCATTACCCTGCCTCTGTGTCCTCATCCCTCTCAGACTCCTTCCTCTCTCCTTCTCTCCTACCATCTGACCTGTGAGATTTCGGGTCAAATTAAGCCCTTTCCTAAGCCACTCACTTGGCTTGTGTTTGTGTCTTGTGCTTACAGCCCCTCCACATTCGATGAACGGGTTAATAGCTCCCTGATCACATTCTGACTCTCTGCTCATGCCCTGATTGGTTTTACTGATTGTTCTGAACAGACAGATGTACAGTCCTGTTGGTAAATTATCTCTGTCCAATCTTATCTGTCTCACTGTGCATGTCTCTGGAAGACCAGTCGATGGATCAGCTGGAATGAGTTTTTCCTTCATGGACATGTCATAAACCCAGAGGTAGAGATCTGGTTTTAAACTATCCTGTCCAAATGGAAAGTTTTACTGAAGCAAATAAAATGTATCTAAAGTGTAAACAAGCGATTTTGATGTTTTTTCTATCATATTCATCAAATATTTTGCCGGGTTTTGTTACATTATATTTCTGATTGTTGTTGAACAAGACATTCATCGGTTTACAGATATTTTACCTTTTTGTTTGTCCTGAAGGATGAAGCCTTTACTGGGTGAAGATGCCCACATTTTTCTGAGTTCTCTGGACAAATGTCACATGTTGTAAAAGCTAGAAATTGTTTTTCTATCATTAATTCTGGAAGTGTTTGGTGTCAGCAGATTGATGGGTTAATGGCCAACACCATTGTTGAACCGGAGTTTTATCTGGTAACTCTCTGCTCCTCAGAGCTTAAAGTTTTATATCTACCCTTTACATTAATCATATTTCTGCAGCTCAGACGCTTCAAGGTCAAAAAAAGGTTCAAGGATGGAAACGAAGAGCGGGATAGAATCAATAACTTTTAACTGGCTTAATAAGCAGGGACGTGTTCATATTTACTGTATGTTTATAAAAATGTGGACTACGTAAAAACTATTTCTTTTCCTTCATTGGGTTTGATTATKACAGAACAGACGAGAATGAGGATAAAAACAGAGTCAGGGACAGACATTAACGCCTCGCAGCTTATACATTCATCGACTTGGTTAATATTTTATAGAGCTCTAAAAAACTCATTCTCTCTAAATTGTCCTTCCTTCCTAGCAATTATAATTTAGATTCAGGGAACCTCTCCGTGCTTCACCGGTGAGCCAAAGCCCCCAAGTAAAATTATGTGTGTATTTGTGGTTTTATGGATGTGGATGCTCATGCACTCACAGATGAACGTTAAATGCAATAATAATAATAATAATAATAATAATAATAATAATAATAATAATAATAATAATAATAAAATACATATAAAAATTGTACACTTGTGCCATTTATCTTGCTTTTGTGTAATTAATTTGCCAGATTTGTCAAATAAAATATAAGGCAAAAACCACTCAGTTACCCGCTTTTCTCACAAGCCAGTAGTTATTTTCTGTCTCCAAATGCAAATGTGACCAGAGGCTTGGCATCTGCCTGAGGGCTCAGTCGGCTGACAGTACGCATCCTGGGGAGTGATCTATTGATCCATATTCAATATCTGCTACACACTCCAGCTCAGTAAAGTTGAAAGATGAATACATGAGGAGCAAAACTGCCAGTGCATACAAGTATACTTGGACTGAGTGCCTAAATGGTTTTACATGGCTCCTTTTTTGTGTGTAAATGCCCCCTTAATAACATTTCAAGAAAAATGCACATCTTTTGTCAAGTGCGACGCAGCAAACATGACATTATTTCAGGACGACCTTAAACGACAGGATGAAACAAGTCCAAGAATTAATTTATTAAACGGACAATGAAGGAGGGAGATAAGTAGGAAAGAGAAGATGAGATGGAGGAGGAGGAAGAGAGGGGAGAGTTGTCACCATCAATACATCTTTCATCCCTAATGAGGTCTGAAAGCTGCAAAAACACAAAAATTGACAACAAACCCTGAGAACGGAGCTCTCTCCTCCTTTCACTGGTACGTCTTCACCTGCCTGCTCCAGGCTCACATCTGTATCGCCCACATTTTGTTCCCTCGCTTTCTCACCCGCTGACCTTCAGCTCCACAAGCTGCTACAACTTACTCTGTTGAACATTTTTTGATTGAACTCAAGGCTTCAGCTCTGAAATGAGCTGCAGCGAGATGAAGCCTGCATGATCACTGTGCTGAGAAATCAGTTGTAGATGGTTTGTTCAAAGCTTGGAAATAATTTATGTTCATCTAATGTTTGTTTCCTGAAAGTTTTGCTAAAATCTGCTCAGTCCTTCATGAGATATTATGCTAACAGACAGAGTTGACTGCATCATGTATTTATTTTAATCTGGCACAATGACAATGTCTGACTTCCAGATTTAATTTGAGTATCTGTAAAACTGACCTGACCAGCCATTTTTGGTTTTTATGAGATTGGTTGGCGGTATAGCAGCCATTTCGATTAAATTGACTCCAAATAAAATCAGGTGCAGAAGTAAATCTAGTAATTATTTCCTGAAAGTTTCATTCAAATCCGACCAATGGTTCATGAGATATTTTGCTAACAGACACTGGAAAACACAAAGAGACAGTAAGATGGTTTTGCATAAACATTAAAAATGGGCGAAATTTGACATTGATATTTTATTATCATGAAAAACAAAACATGCGCGATTTTTTAATTGAATTTGCTAAAAGTGGTGCAAAAAAAATTGCACAAAATCTGAACGGAAACATTTCATTAAAGCAAAAAATAAACGTGATGATTTGATTTGTGAGAAAAGGTCACCTGCGGGATGGGACGATGGATCAGTGTGTGTGTGTGTGTGTGTGTGTGTGTGTGTGTGTGTGTGT